GCCGAGGACACCGGACAAAAAGCCTCCATGAGGAGACTTGACAGGGTCCGGTGCCCTTGCAGGCACATGACATGTCGTTTATAAATAAAATCAAAAGAAAACAAGAATATGTATCTAAACAAAATAAGCATACAGTGATTTTTTGTTTTGTTACACAATGACTATCAACATTATCTGTAATGAATCTTGTTAGCATTTTAGGCGGGTTATGACCAAGAGATTGTAATGCATAATTGGTGCGAGAATGAACATTACAGAACTCTTTGCGACGGATATTGATGACGGATGATTCGCGATTGGTTAGATTTGATAGAACGGATAAAAAGCAATGAACTCTATAGATGAGAATAAATACGAAGACAACAAACGATACTCATAGACTCAAGATACTTTCATGACGTTATGGTTTGAAAACAATGGTTCGGCATGAGTATCATAAGGAACATTCGCAATAAAAGCTTTTTTTGTACAATCATTAGTCTACTGATATTTTTTTTAGTGGTGGTGCCTCATACCTGCAGGTGGCAATAATTAATTTGCGAACCAAACAATGCATGATAAACTTGAGTTTTATCATTCGAAGGCAATAGAGACCGACAGTGACCGATAATACCTACTATACTTTTGCCAGTTTGTGAGCTAAGTATTCTATGTGATGATCTCACTGCATAAATTCTGAAAGAATTAAACTTAACGTTTTACGATGGCTTACTATTTCAATCTGACTGCTATCAATGGTTAGAGCATAACTAGTATTAATGAATTTATTTTCAGGTCTGAAAACAACAGCCTTCGATTTGGCAGCATTTAACTGCAAACCAACACCCCCCAACAAAAAAAAAAGGAAAAAAAAAACAAAAAACCTTCCAGTTTTTTTACTTTGGTGAAGAAGGAAGAGCGGCGGAGCTGTACTATGTGCCGCCATCTATGAGCGACGGCGGCAACTAGACAACCGGCAAGGTTGCCGCCGTCACTCATGGATGTCGGTAGTTGTCCAGAGTTCGGTGTCATCAGGTCATTTGAGGACGGACACGATCCTGGGTAAACTAGTCCTTAACAGCTCCGCTGTAAAAACTTCTCCAGCGCATTTTTTTCCGTTTGTAAAAAGTTCATCAATATCCGTCACAGACAGGAAAATACTAGTGGCGTCGGTATACATGATGAAACGTGATTTATGGCAAATTTTCACTATGTCATTGATATACAGATTGAACAATCGCGGGCCAAGTATACTTACTGCTTTGTGGCACACCAGATTTCAGTAGTTGCAAATATGCATAATTATTCACTGAGACACATGTATTGCTGACGCTTTGCTAGGTATGAATTAACAAGGGCTAGAGAAGTGCCCCCGTGCACCGTAAGACGAGAGCTCATCAAGGAGCGTTGTATGATTAAGACAGTCAAATGCTTTACTAAAATCAATAAAAAGCCCCGCGGCGTCAATTGGTTCTGTTCTATATTACGCAATCTAAGTTCCTTTCGAGATAATAACGCACACTGTGAACTTTCCCTTCCGAAATCCGAATTGGGAGTCCATTAACACTGAATGTATGACAAAGAATTGCCGTCTAAACGCCACAGAATAATTTTTTCAAGCCTCTTAGAAAAGATGGGCACAACAGATATCAGTCTATAATTCGTAACTATATTTTTGTGCCCTCCCTTAGGTAATACAGAAACTTTTGCGAGTTTCATGTTATTTGGAAATCGGCCAAGTTGACAAGGCCAAGTTAAAGATATAAACTAATCGGGAAATGACATCTATCACAAATTTAACAGGCTTTATTTGTATGTTATCAATGTCATGATGTTTGCTGTTTCTCAGCCCGATAACTACACGAAACACTTCTGATTCGTCCGTAGGTGCCAGAAAAATAGTTTCATTTGCCCTAGCTATTTACGATGAACGAGGACGCACTCTCATTGTGTGCTCTTGAATGTATGTTCGTAAATTAGCGGTTAAAAATTTATTTAAATATAAACAAATGCACATATAAAGAAAGCAACAAATGATAGATAAATTATAAAAAAAATTATCGTAGTAAAACTGGTCGGATTTGCACGATTTAAATAAATTAATCAATTTTTATTATCCACCTTGCTGTAACTTCATTCGATTTTTCTTTTGAGTTCCGGTTTGATTGCAATAGGACATTACTTTTCTAGTTTTCGTTTCTTTCTTATGCGTTCCGATTTTGTTGAATAGTACGTTACATAGCTGACGAACAAAGTGTGGAAGACTGCTATTGGGGAGGAGATGGAACAGTCACGCCTCTAGCGGTACGCTTCAGCTGTGTGGGGCAACAAACCGAAAGTCGATATCATACTGCGCCGCTGCTAATACATCGCTATCACACTGCGTCATACTAATGCATAGCTATCACATCGCGTTACACTGCTAATACATCACTATCACATTGAGTCATACTGCGTCACACTGCTAATGCAACGCTATCTCACTGCATCATACTAATAAATAGCTATCACACTGCGTCACACTACTAGTACATCACAATCACAATGCGTCATACTGCTAATAAATCGCTATCACACTGCGCCACACTGCTAGTCGATATCATACTGCGTCACACCGCTAATGCATCGCTATCACAATGCGTCATACTAATACATAGCTATCACATCGCGTCACACTGCTAACATATCACTATCACACTGCGTCATAGTACTAATACATCACTATCACACTGCATCACACGGCTAGTCGCTATCATACTGCGTCACACTGCTAATGCATCGCTATCTCACTGCGTCATACTAATACATCGCTATCACACCGCGTCGCACTGCTAATAGATCACTATCATACTGCGTCATACTGCTAATACATCGCTATCACACTGCGTCACACTGCTAATGCATCGCTATCACACTGCACCATACTAATGCGTCGCTATCACACCACGTCACACTGCTAATACACCACTAACACACTGCGTCATACTGCTAATACATCGCTATCACACTACGTCACACTGCTAATCGCTATCATACTGCGTCACACTGCTACTACATCACTAGCACACTGCGTCATACTGCCAATACATCGCTATCACACTGCGTCACACTGCTAGTCGCTATCATACTGCGTCACACTGCTAATGCATCGCCATCACACTGCTTCATACTAATACATCGCTATGACACCGCGTCACACTGCTAATACATCGCTATTTCACTGCGTCACACTGCTAATGCATCGCTATCCACACTGCGTCAAACTAATACATTGCAATCACACTGCGTCACACTGCTAGTACATCACTATCACACTGCGTCACACTGCTAATACATCGCTATCACACTGCGTCACACTGCTAGTCGCTATCATACTGCGTCACACAAAAAAAAACACAAACAAAAAAAAGTTTGCAGACAGATTCTGAGGCCTTCCTCGAATGGCGGTCACAGTGGTCATACAAAGACTGCAAACATGTTCGAAGCATGTATGAAGCAGATATGCTTCTAAGATGTTTGAGGCGCAGATAACTCTGTCGGCATGCCTGCAGACCGTGTCTTTTGTATGATGTAGCAGCATTCTGACTGCGGCTTTATACCTCGTCTCGCCCTGTGATGGATTAAGCTACGGGCTGCTGCAGGTTGAATCATGAGTCAGTAGAACATACGGCGAGCAAGTGTTCCAAAAAGCGTCTTTCGCGCGTCGGAACGCCAAGGGGAACCACGCCAAACTACAGGGCAACAAAAAGAAAGTGCAGAGAACGTGCGATGACGAAGAAACCAAGCGCGCACTGCCATTGGCCGAGATCGGGAGGAAACAAAGGCACGTGGACGCGTCTCGAGGATAAACAAACGCACGAGATGCGCAAAGAGCAGACGAACTTGCACGCTGCTGCTGGTGTGGGTTAAGCATTCCGTACCCACGGTTTCCAGACTGGCGCCCGAACAAAGCGTTTTCCTTCCAAGGTGGCCAGGCTAGCTTATACGCACGTCGCAGCAATATTACCCCGTGGCTTCCAACCGGCTCGTGATTGGACCTCCATATCTTTAGTTTTGGCGCGTATACCGTAAAACATGAAATTCCATCCGTTCGATGAGGCCTTCTTGCTGAGAATAGCAACCTCCGGCGCTCCTTTTTTCGACGCACCCAAGGCGAACGGGCCAAAGTGCGAAGCAAACTCAGCGAAAGTTTGTCAAGAAATGCGGGACTCAAAAAATAACAATCAAAACTTGCCGCTTAAAAAAAAAAAAAAAATTACGTATGATTTATTAAACAATTTACTGTAGTACATTTTCTCGGATCTTTTTTTTTTTTTTTTTTTTTTTTTTTTTTTTTTTTTTTTTAAGACCGGCCGAGCTGGCGGCGAATATCGCTCGACATAAATTGTAAAAAAAAAGAAGTAAAAAGTTTCGTATTTTCAATCGTTTGATCGTTTAATTAGCCCTTTTAGGGGGATACTACAACTAAATCTAAACTTACATTGGGATTTTTTGTCGCTTCTAGGTAGCACTTGTCCTTTTGCCCCATCAGCCTCCCCTATATTCTCGAAAGAGTTGTTTCTTCCCATTAAAAGAACTTGAGAGTGTGTCAGTCTTTTGTACAGGTTATCTTTAGAGCGTGAATATCTTGTTTATCGCTTGGCAACTGAAGACCGGATGCGGACTTTATTTATACCAAGCGAAATCTACGGAATAGGCATCTCAACCGCTTCGCACATGGGCAGTGGTGTCACTAGGTTCAGCGACACCCGAGGCGAGCACCCCCCCCCCCCCCCCCCCCCCCTTTCCACTGGCCAACTGCACTCCCCTGAGCGCTACACGCGGGGCGGTCCGCCCCTAGTGACGCCACTGTTCCCATGTGCGAGGTCCCATGGTCGTTCGTGGCACCGTATCTGGCGGTCTTGCAAAGCGCATGCGGTCGGTGCGTTGCGGGCTTGCCGATTTGGCCGCCGGTGTTTGTGAAAGATATAATAAACATCGCTTTCACTCACTCACTCCGGTGTTTGTTGCTCGGTCCGCAGGAGACAGTCCAGAACGGGGTGTCGTTCCTGCTGCTATGCAGCTCGTCGGCCTTCCTGCTCGTGCAGACGTCCTTCTTCCTCTGGCCCCTGTACCTGCTCACGCCCTTCTTCCAGGCATACCCGGCCATGATGGCGGCAGGAGTGAGTGCACCGGATGACGAACAAGTCACCCAACACGTTGCAACGGTTGCTATGCTCGTTGTGCTGGTTGCAGCGCCCGATAAGAGAATATGGCTCCGTGAATTCGCTGTAAACAGAGCTGTGTGAGCTAAGGTGAAAACAAATCGTGAGATAGGAACATCGAAGAAACCAGATTTTTATAGTTTAAATTAAATTTATATTGTTTAAACCGCCTTATCAAAAAAATTGTAATTTTTATTGTAGGTGCTATATGAAACATCCAAGATAGATTTATCAACACAAAACAATGTGCAAAGAGGAATTCACTGTAAATTTTATGGTGTTACAAGTTACAGTTCAATTAATACTATTTTGTTCTTTATCAGGGCTTACAAAATGTAAATCAAGATGATTTACTTTTTTTTTTTTTATTTAAAAATTGCCGTAGCCCTTGATAGATCAGAAGCAGTTTGAATTTTTTCCTTCGTTACTGAAATCACTTATTTGCTATAATATATCAACAAATCATCATAAGATACGCCTTTGAGTTTAAATACAGGGTGTTCAATTTTAATTCGAACAAATTTATTATAAAAATCAGTGAGAGGTATACACTAATGTGGTTTGTGCCGGTGAGTTTACGGCTAGGGGGACAAATATAGGGGTTTAATCATCACAACAAGTTAACTTTTTAATTATTGAAAATAAACAAAGGCTTCAAATCAGAAACTTGTTGAGCGTCATCAAAAACCACTATATCGGTCAATTTTAGAACGACCTGAAGCACGTGCGAAGCGCAGGAATGCTCCAAAGTTGCCACTAGCGCAGCAGGCGCAAAGCTAGCGGTTGGAATGATAATCTAATAATTCGCGTTTTCCCGCTGCTAGCTTTGCGACTGTCGCACGAGTGGTGACTTCGGGGAACCCCCGCGTCGTTCCTTCTAAACTTGACCGATTTAGTAGTTTTCGATTACGTACGCTCAGCAAGTTTCTGATTAAATCCGCTGAAAATTTTAGAAACTATTCATAACTTTTTAATAAGCTAACGGTTAGTTCTGAATAGGTGGCATCACATCCGGATCGCTAGAGCTACATTTTGGAGGAGAATGAGCGTTCGGTAAAGCGTATATTAAATCTTTAGTCTTGTGCGAATAGTGGATTTTGAGTTCGAAGCGAATTCGAAGCGAATAGTGGTTTTGGCCGAATATTTTCGATTCGAATATCGAATAGTTTTTCCACGCCTTTCACTACTATTGCATAATGCTTAGACGAAAAGTCAGCTAAACTTGTGGAGGTTATTCCACTTGTTCATTTATAAGCTAAGCTCTATCTATATTTATGGACTGTGACCTCAGAAGGTCTGGTGTCTTGGGATGGCAAGTAAACGACGGATTTGACATAAAATGAATCCTGTAGAGATGGCCAACTATACCGATTGAGCGAATTTACAAATCTTGCTATATAAAATATTCTTTCTTTAATCTTAAGTTAAAAAAGAATTAATCGCGCATGATGAACCACAGGTTGTAAAAGCTTCTCTGCCTAACATAGTATACTCTTGCATAAAAGTTTAATTTTGAAACTTTTACTACACTGTAGATATACACATTCACAAAGTTTCCATTTATCTTCAAATACAATCGGTACGGGCGCACCATCCCGCTTTGAATGTATGCTTCTTTTCCGTGCACGCAATTACGATATTGTTTATCGCGGCGGGTTACCCCGTTAAGTGCGCTTGTGACCGAGCACCGAAGTAATGCGGAGAAGCAACACCGCGGAGATCAGTTTTGCGGGTTTTGTTTCTCCGCAGCGCAGCGGTGCTTGGTAAGAAGCGAACTCAACGGGGCTAACCCGCCGCTATCAACACTTCGAAAAACGCAAATAGTGCAGTTCTTTTCGAAGCGAATATCGAATAGTGTATTATTCGGAACTACTATTCAAAATTTCGAATATTCGCACAACCTTATAAATCTTTAATAAAAAAAAAAAATAAAAAAAGAAAGGAACTTTTTAATGTTTTGGGGGACACCCTGTGCTTCCATTTGTTTTCATTTTCTTTCCAACACGTGCACCTAATGTAAATGTTCCTAAGAAGAAATCTGGCAAGTGCTTTGCCAGAAATAAAATAAAACAAAAAAACTTGGCTTACAAAATTTTGGTGAGACCTGTTCTCGAATATGCAAACATTGTATGGGATCCACATGCGGTAATAAATTCGTCAAAACTCCATGAAGTCCAAGGGCATTCATCCAGGTTCATTTTTAACAAGTTCCATCGTTCCCATTCACCCACTGAACTTTGTAGAAGACTTGCCGAACACCCTGCTCTTGAGTTAAAAATGAAGTACGTGGTCGCCAAAAATGCATTTTCATAATGGTTTAGTTAAAATTGACAAGAATAATTACATGCATGTGCGCTTAGGTGAATGTACGCGACACAGTCATAGTATATACATGAGGAAACCAGCCGTTAAAAATGACTGTTTGAAATTTAAATTCTTTCCAATAGCAATTAGGGAATGGAACGAACTTCTTAATGAAATCGTCGTTCGAATGAATCCGTCGTTTGTGAAAATATATAAAAAGCATAGCGTTTGGGAATAAATAAATGTTCCAACTTCTCCACATGCACGGTGGAACTGGGTTTACGTTGTCAGTATTCACTTGAGGATTTACACCTAAACTCACTAGCAGCTAAAAACACGTGTATACCTGCACTGCCTGTTGCAAAACCCTTTGAGGAAGCTCATCGCACTCTGGTAATGGACATTCATAGTTGTTCGCTCCTAGAAAAGCGAATTTGATGGTGCAAAATGTAGCTAGTTTTGAAAATTTAACCCCAAAACATAACTACTCCCCCTTCCCCCGCCCCCGTTCCCTATGGTCACTGCCCTGGGAAACGGGACTTAGGACGGCATTGTTAAAAACTGCTTAGGCGGCAAAATGCTAAGTTCACCTCTGCATGTATTGTTCTCTCGGTTTCAGGTTCTGGGTTGCGTTGGATCGGCAGTACACTGTTTCGACGCCATCTTCGCCTTTCGGGAACTCAAGAGGTGAAGGGTACCGCACAGGAACCGGACTGAGCAACAGCAAATTACAGCTCTTTTACGTTCTTTTTTTTTTTTTTCTTTTTTTTTTTTTTTCGAAAAGGTGAAGGTGGCCGACTTGTCGTGGAGGATGTCGGACGCCTGTTTGTTCTAAAAAGAAGAGGCCCTGTCGCAAAACAATACAATAAATAAAAGGACTTGTCGTTCTGAAATATGTCCACGTTTTGAGAGCACAACATACGCACAAGGGGAAAAAAATCGAGAGTGAAACTGTTGGTTCATTCGCATCCTGTAGGTGGCAGCAAAACGTCACTAAATAAAGCCCGACGGCCCGACTCTTTGCCTTCTCAGTCTCCTGAAACAAAGTACCCCACACGTCTGCTTCCGCGTCTTTCTTCAATAACGACACAGCCCGGGGCAATGAGGAAAGTCGTTTGCTCCAGCGGACAGGACGCGTCTGTCAACAGTGTCAAGGGCTGTCGCTGCAGGGCACGCAAGGGGCAGCCAGTCAAACCCTCATCACTGTTCGATTTGTCACGCCCGAAACAACGCGGAAAGACGAACATCAAGCAATAACGAATACAACCCCTCAACTTGGTCGTCGTCCTTTCAAATCTGTCACGCAAAAGTAAGCAAAACAAGAAGCACCCAAAGTCTGTCGTCGGCAAGTCACCGCCCTTAGGACAAAGTGACAGAGTCAGGAACGAGCCCGATCAATACGCCTCCTGGCGCCAGACTGGCGAACGGAGACACGTGACCGAAAACAACAAGGGGCCGCTCCTAGTTTCTCGACGGCCGGCCTTCTGCGCTTGTACAACTCCTCCGTTTGGCGCGTTGCATGGTCGCGAAGAGAGTGTGGATGTGCCGCACGTTCGCAAAGACGGAGCAGCGATTGAACCATCGGGTCTGTGCACGTCCAGCGCTCGGAAAAGTGCTCGCAACGGCCTAGCGGCCGCCATACAAAATTCCGGCCAGGTAACCCGTCCATGATCGTCCAGTTAATTAATAAGTGATGTCGGCGGCTCGCCGGCAATGTCGTAGGGGCTAAAGGGAAAGCACTAGTTCGTGCTGCCACCTAGTGAACATCGAGGTAACTACTACGTCAAGTGTCACGACGCGTTGTCTCGTGTGTTCTCGGCTGTTTGTGCACAACTTTCCTCAAAGGACACTGATGGACCTGAATCAGTGTTCGACTGATAACCCTGGAACCGTCCTTCAAAGCGGAAATGCGGCGCCGCGTTTGGCCAAAGTCGCCGAAGTGGTGTTTGTACGGACGGCGGCCGCTCTGGCGGGTCTGAGATGCAAGGACAGGTGGCGCCAGCTTGTGCGCTGGTTCTCAAGCGAGCGTCGGCAAGTCACTTGAGGGAGAGGGAGAAAGGGGGGTACGAAGGAGTGTGGGGCAATCCCTGCGCAGCCCCTGTAGTTGGAAGTTGCGACGGGACGTTCGCTGGTTCGCGTCCGGCCGTGATTTGCGTCGGAATTGGAGTCGTTTGATTCGACATTGCAACGAGTCTCGGTTTTTGACACTGTCAAGGTTATGACGGTTGAGGAACAGGTTATTCAGAGTGGCGGCGAAGCTTCCGCCGGCTTCTTTATTGCAAAATCGTGTCGAGGTAGAACGTGGCAAAGTTTGCAGAGACTTGGCTATCAACTTCAAGGCGTCCCCGTCTCTGTTTCCCGTACTCCTGGAAAGGTGTCACCGGCCTCTAATGTCTTCCAGGTAAGTTGACTGCTTGTTGCTTCTCTACGTGTACTTGTAGCTTTGTTAGAAAGTACGTGTTCGTCTCTTTTTTTGAGGCTGCGTGTCATGCAAGAAGCTTTCGGAGGGCGGGCGGCGCAAGCGCTGTCCAAAGTTGGCCGAATAGGCTCTTCAGTTGGAAGTTAGTGCAACGTTTTCACACCACTTGTATGCATAAAAAAAAAAAAAAAAAGATGACAACTTGGTTATGGGGTTTGCTTCCGCATTATTTATATGACTAGGGTGACCAGACGTCCCGTTTTGGCCGGGACAGTCCCGTTTTTGAGGTCCGCTTCTGCGGTCCCGTCTTTTTGTCCCAATAAAGAATCATGTCCCGTTTTCGCAGGAGTGCATAGTTCTGGCAGCAGGCGAGTTGAAGCAGACCGAAACTATGCCTGGTGTATAGTTTCGGTGTATAGTTTACAAGGCATGAAACGATCCCTGGTGTAGTTTACAAAAATTACCGTAGGTACTTTTAAATGTTTACCCAGAAAGTAAAATTTAGAACTGCTCTTGCCCACAAACACCTTCGAAATGGGTGCATGGACTATGAGTGTCACTGCTCCAGGGCTTAAGGCAATAGGGTAAAGTTTTGAAATAGGACAAGTTATTTAATTCAATTTGTTCTTCCAATCTCAATGTTTAATCCCCCCCCCCCCCCCCCCCCCCCCGCTGGGATGTCCCGTCTTCTACCTTTGTGAAAAAAAAAAAAAAAAAAAAATTCTCAGGCAGGTGACAATTGTAAGCTCAACTGATTGTTCATGTAATTTAGCTTTCTTTTTTTTTTTTTTTAATAATAATTTGTACGGGAGAGTAGCTCAGGCGTCGCACGGGACAACCTTCGGCGGTGGTTGTGGTTGTACGTGCATGTGTGTGTGTGTGTGTGTTTTTTTTCGTTTTTTTTTCTCCGTGATTTGCCCAGCGCATGAGGGCCCGTTCCTCGTCAGACCAACAAAGGTTGGCTTTTGTCCGTGGCTGTGGCATCTCTATATGCAGATGCGCTATGAAATTATTTGATTTAATTCCGATTGAAGCCAGGCACGCGCACTCATTGTCGGAAAGGCCACAGAAAGCTGTCCCCGAGTGTAGTAATAATCGGTCGCTTCCTCGCCAATTAATTGTCATTGGTTGAAATCTTCCATTAACATTATTATACCTTCACACACACCAGGCGGTCCCGTTTATCGTTACAACTTTGGCGACTTAGCTCACGAAGAGATAACAACGATAATGTTTGGTTTTCGTGGGCACCTAACCATTAGCGAACTTCGCAGAAAAAAAAAAAAAAAAAAAAAAAAACGTATCGTGTAATGACGCAGATAATTGATATAAACAAGTAGTATCGTCTCGGCCTCTTTTTTTGTTTGTTTTTAATTTAGTAGTCGAGCATGCTTTTGACCGGCCGAGTAGGAAATTCCTCACATTATCAACCCTGCTAAAATACTCATAAGCAGCATTTCGCGATATTGGCTCAAGAAAATAAATTATTGTTATATGAACATTTGCTTACTCATGATATGATATAAGTGACAGGCCCGTCAAATTAAATCTGGCAGTTGTCTTCCAAAAAATTGGCCAAATAATTAAATGGCGCAGGAGGAGAAGCACCTCGGAAAGTTTGGCCGAATTCTAGCGCTAGGCACCACTTCACGGACCTGTGTGAACAAATATTTATTTGTTTAAACAGATTCGCTTTGTAAATTTCGGCATCACCAGCTACCAAAAGTAAACCTCTATTCGCCATCGACAATCTTGAACTCAAGTGATTGTTATGCAGATTTTTTTTCGGCGTTAAATATTGCGGATTTCAGATAGTGGCAAAAGTTAAACAGCGTACGAAAAAAAAAAAAAAAAAGCGTCGAAAGAACACAGTGTTTTGGATTTGGAAATAGTAACGACGTTATTTCTTTGTGCACGCTATTCTAAAACTCGCTGCTGTTAAGCGTCTGTGGCCGTTCTTTACATGGGAAGTCCAAACCTTTGTGTTAAAATAAATTAAGTGGATGGGACTGGTTATCTGAGTATAATCAATAAATCACTTAAAAAACTGCCGATATGGGAGTGAGCACAATATGCAATAAACCGACCAACCGAATGTTTACGTCGCAAAAAACAAAACAAAAAAAAAACAATTGAGAACCTTATACATATGTCGATGTGATATGATGAACAAACAAATCACCTGATGTTGACCTAGCCTCAGATAAAATACAAGTTAAACGTTCGTTATCTATCTGCTCCGCGAGTTTCCTCACATAATGAAGAGAAACTGTTTTCGATAAATTATGAATACAAAAAGCGATACTTCCAGGAAATACAGATAGTCTCCTTGCGCTTTCTTACTGAGAATGTTCCCCCACTATTAGTAAACAAACCTCAGTTGTCATAAAAACTTTTGAACCTTCGTGATGTCTTGGTCGTCAAGTAGACGTAACGGACTACAGTTTCTGAAGTAAGGCAAGAAAGCGCGGTGAAACACGACGAAAAGCACGAATACAACGCATCCGCCAAGGTTTGGAGGGGAAAGCGGAGCAGCAAGTTGAAGCAACCTAATGGCTGCCACGTCACGTGGTTCCAATATGGCAGCGCCCATGCGGAAGAGGATGAAAAGGTCTATACTCACGTAGCTCTCGTAGCTCTCTGTTCCACTCTTTAAAAAAAAACACTGCATTTTTTAAGGGACATAGCTGGGACAGGTATATTTAAAAAAAAAAAGATTTTTTTTCCACGGAAACCAACATTTTTTTAGCGGTATTTACGCTGTTAGACGCAGTTTACATGCAGAAGGTGGAGGTCGCGGCCCGCTAAGTTCCGCCCCTTGCTTTCAACGTGCTTGCATCTCTCATGAACTGGAGAGATGATTGACGTGTGAGAGTTTGGTTGTAAATTTGTGTCTTCGTGCCGTAATAGTATTTCAATAGACTGTTTTTTTTTTAATGTTTGAGAAACAACTAATCAAGATAGTCATTGTTTTCAAATTTATTCTAAGATTGCTTCTCCCGCTTTGGTTTGTAACGTTAACAAACATGGCTGCCGGCGCCCGCAAAAAGCTAAAAGAGGTTTTTTTTTTTTTTTTTTTTTCGGTCACGTGTTACCGCAACATCGCTAGACGCTGACATACGCTTGTATTGTACCGTGGCTCGTGCATGATGGAACGCTAGAACGCCGCGTTCACGTTCGTGCCGTCTGAGCGTTGCAGACGATTTTAGACGGGGGCGGAATAGCGGACGGACGGAGATGAAAACGGACGCCAACGCCCAGCTTTCGTGTCCGCGTCTCACGGGCATTGCAGACGACGATAGACGGCGGTAAAATAGCAGACGATGCAGGAGGCTGCCGCGCGTCTGCTCGCACGAGACTTCCAGGCGCGACGCACCAGGTGTCGCGAAAGGCATAGTTATTATATTGTACGCTAGAGGTTCAACTGGCGCTAGTGTCTATGCGACTTCCGTGACGCAAATTGAAGCAGACCGCAACCAGTCTACTTTTGCGGTGCTCCTGTGCATTCCTATGGGAAAACGTGCGTGCATTTTGTTTCTTCGCGGGAAAATAACACTGAACACTTTGGTTATTTGGGTCGTACCGAATAACATGTACCTTGATTAACACTGTAAAAGTGTAATTGCTTTAGTTGGCGCATTTTTCTTCATCAGTGAACGAAGTTTAACTTCTCTACATTTCAGTCCCAAACGTGTGTTCCGCAGCAGAAGTGTAAAAAGAAGCGACGATTCAAAGCAAAATAACAATCGAAAGCAATATAAAGTGTGTTCAAGGCTCGCCAGCGTTCCGGTGACGCTTGCATATTGATAATATGCCAGTCCTGTCACTATATGAAAATGATACAGGTGCCGTCAAAGTAAAACGGAGCGCCGGAGCGACGTCCGAACTGCATCGCCGCGCTATCTGGCAGCGCCGGCTTTAAAGGAGCTGTGCAACGATTTTAACGTTGAAAGAATTGGCATTTTCTGCTTTTGATATTGTTCACTGTGTTACAAATGGCAGAAAACACACCTCCTTTCATCGCAATGTTGCGATTCCACCGCGTAATAGCGAGGCAAAACTTGGAATATTTCCCGACCTGCAGCCACGAGCGGCGGCCATGAGAAACAAGCGGCGTGACGTCACTTGGGTCGTTGTAAGAAAGATAGCAAGTTGTGCGAATACCTGCTCGATAAAAGGTAACTTTTTTTATAAATCTTGTCGTTCCAACATATATATAAATGCGTCAAAACCCTGGTATCATCGACAAAACTTTTATTATACGGAGTTTTAGTGGCGCCATCTATCCTAGGTTTACAAAACCGCGAACAGCTGCCAGAAGCCGGAGGAGGAGGGGGACAGCGCCGGACGGGCAAGGACGGGTGGTCACGCGGTCGCGAGCGGATGAGTTCTCGCTGCTCGCTGATGGCTCTAAAGAGAGAACTTTTCCGGAACTCCGCGCCTACTCTAGTGACGTCACTGTGCACGTGACCCGGAAGACGATGCACGAGTTGAGAGGCGGCAAAAACCTGGATCTTTTTCATTTTTTAAAGTAAAAACTAGGGTATCCAGGCAAAATCTGTTTTCTGTAGTTCACTGCAGAAGTGTCAGGCATCAACTTCCACAATTATTTAAGCAAAGCCCTGAAATTGTTGCACAGCTCCTTTAACTGATAGGCTACATCTGCGCATGCGCACGTGCCTTCCGCTGGGGCCTCCGTTTTCTTCTTCCGACCCACACGTTATCGGTGGTTCGAGCGGCGCAACGATTTTCCTAAAATCGACGCCTGATAGCACAAGGGGTGGTGCTCATTGACAACACTGGCCCTTTCCCACTTGCAGTCAGCGTTATCTACGAGTGTGAGTCCAACACCTAGCGGTGTTTATCGGAATAGCGTTTGTCAGCTCGAGACGCCAATAATGCGAGGATCAAACAAGAAAACGGAGGACACCGCGAACACACGCGCGCATGCGCAGACGGCACCTATCAGTTCCAGCCGGCGC